CCCCAAAACCCCAAAACCCCAAAACCCCAAAACCCCTATTCTTGCCTGGATAATTGAACTTTAAAAAATAAATTGTGAAAAGTACCTTTTTAAGATCAGGTCTTTCTCTATTTCCATTTTCTCATTACTGAGGGAGGGTGGCAGTAGGAGTACAACAAGTCTGGTCAAGGACTTGATCCCTACGATCCAGAAATCAGTGGCTGTGATCTTATACTCCTTTAATGACTCATTCAGATCAAATTTCTCCTTGATAATATTTAGATAATGTCTTAGCTCAGTGGTCATATCGTCAAGTACCACTGATGGTGAGAATTTCATAGCCAGATTCGTCTCATTAAAGTAGTAGAACTTTAGCTTAGGGTTATTTCTGATGTGATTCTCATGGTAAAAGTTCACCACAGGATCTATCTTATTTAGTCAAGCTTTCAGCCATCGATTTGGTCCTCTCGTAGAGAAGGGTGTACTCAAGTTCATCCAAATTTTCGTTTTCTAGCAGATACACGAACTTCATCTTTTTGAATTGCATAACTATCAGTTTTGCGAAGGTTTTGGGGGAGTCAAAGTCAGTTTTGACATAAACTGTGGGAGAAAAGATGTCATAGGTCTTCACATCTTCGACACTTCTCCTGTCTGTGGCTTTGAAGACCGAGGGACCGATGATGAAACCTTGCTTCTCCTTGTTACTGCCAACAAATCCTTGACGATTTATCCTTCAAAAATCGGTGTAATATTCCTCATCATCTACGTATTCTTCGTAATTAATGTCCGTGTGCTCTAGGAGATCACGGTGCTTTTCTTCTTCTATATCGCTTTCTGTTAACTGAGAGGAACTATTTTTGAGCTTCTTACGGAGAACTTTGGTGATCTTGCCTTGCAGCCCAGTATCGACCCAATTTGGGACCAGTCCTTCTCTCCTCTCACTGAGGGGGCCAATCAGGTATGTATAAAGAACTTCAGTTTCGTCACTTGGGATATTTCCATAAACGTAAAATTCCTCGTAGAATATAGCAAGTCTGGGCACATTAGTTGAATGAGCGTATTTCTGGGCGCAGAGATACAGCTTAGACTCCAGTGGGCATATAGGGAACCCCCTATAAACACAGCTATTGAAGTACGTCCTGCCACAATAAGTCATGAAGAAATGCTTATCAAATCTATTTGTGAAATCTTCAAGGACATTTTCAAGATACTTCTGGCCTCTCTCAAAGACATGCCGAATAGAGAGATGGAAGAGGCAGAACAGGTCATAATACAGCTTCAGAGTCTCATTCAAGATGTAGGTGTCTTCTTCCTTGAAATTTCCGTATTCAGGGTCGAAGTTACTCACCGTGGTGTCTCCATGTTCTGCTACATTGTCTGTATAGAGATTATTGTGAGAGAGAATGAGTCATAAAAACATATCCGGCTCAACTTGCTTAATTCAGAGTGTAAACAGAGAAGTATTGATTGTTTCGATGGGACTGTTGGAGTAATCCTCACTATCTTGTCAGAAAGAACCCATGAAATCTATGACTCCCTCTCAGAGCCCTGTCTGCTTCCTCTGCTCGTGAGCGTCAGTGTCTTGAGGATGAAAGAAAATTATATTTTAGAATCTTGACATGCTTCCTCTTCTTTATTCTGATCCTGAGATGGCTTAAGTGAAGGATTGTAGAGAATAATGTGAATGCCTTGATAAGGGCTTCCCCGTACTTCTTGCTTCTCTATTACGATTTCCTGTTCTTCGTCTTCTTCAAAGTTTGACATCTGCAGGTCTGAAGTTCCATACATTTTTATTTATTCAATTGATGAATATAGATCCGGGGTTTTGGGGTTTTGGGGTTTTGGGGTTTTGGGGTTTTGGGGTTTTGGGG